AAGTATAATCCAAGTCTTTTAAGTTATGTATTCTCCAAACATCCTTTAGTTCCAAATCTTCTTTCATTTCAAAAAAAGTTTGTGGTAGTCTAATCTTTGACTTCGCCAGACTTTTTTTATCTAATTTGGAGTCAATTACTCCATTCCAATCTCCCATAATCAAAATTGATCTATAGTCCCATTGCAATATTTTAGTATGCAAAATTTTATAAAAATGATCCTGCTGTTGGTTAGGCGCATAAATCCCAATCACAAGAATTTGGCCATATGCAGTACACAGTTCAATTGCTACAAACCTACCACCTTCATCTGCCTCTATAATTTTAGCTGACAATCTTTTATTTATATAAATAACCACTCCATTCTTTTTTTCCAAATTTGAGGCTGTAAAATGTATTCCTAACTTTGAGTTTATCAAATATTTTTGATCTTGCGTTCTAATATGAGTTTCTTGTAAACAAATTATATCATTATTAAATTGTTGTAAATATGTAAATATTTTCTTCCTTTTCTGTGGTGAGTTCAGTCCATTCACGTTCCAAGACAAAAACTTAACCATCATGCATACCTTTTTGAAGCAACGAGCAAGATTGCCGGATGTCTTCCGAGGCCACCGACTTTGCTCTCCCCATGGCTTCCCTTTGTTCTATAGTACTCTTAGTTCCTTTTTTATATTGTTATGCCATAGCTCTTTCTTGCAATTGTTTTTCTTTAAGTTGTTTTGAAACTGCACGAGTTATTCGCTGATCTTTAGCTTCAGCCATATGCTCTAGGTCCAATGCCACATCTCTTGTAGTCAGAATTGGAGAAGATTCTAACAAGGGTTCCTCCAGAAAACCTCCTACAGCACCCTGCACTTCTATTGGGTCTAATTCAATCTGCTTAAGCTGCACTTCCAACTCTTGCTGGGGTTGCTTCTCCTTCTCACTCTCCTTTATCTCCAATACAGTAGATGAACGTGGAGATGGTGATCTCTCCTTGAAAACATTATAATAGAAATATTCCGCTTTTTCAACAGTATTCAGTCGGTGTCTTTCCCCCTGATATTTCAAAATTATGCCCGTTGGAGCATCCCATCTTAATGGGATTTCTAATTTGTTTAATTCCTTTACTAAAAAACTAAAATCTTTTCTATCTTTCAGCATCTTTGGTGGAAGTTCTTTATAAATTCCAACCTCAGTTCCCTCAACTTGCACAGAGGAAAGGAAAGATTTTTGCAGAATATCATTTCTCATTCTTCTATCTGTGAAGTATATCACCACATCTCTTGGTAATTGTCTTTGTCTGGCCACCCATGAGTTCACTCTGTAAATTTTATCTATTTTGTAAAAGATCTCATCAGGATTAATTTTTAACAACACAGCCAAGGCATCAGCACAAATCTGTCTCAAATCCTGCCGGTCACTCTCCTTAATCCCTCTAATTCTTATGGCAAATTCCATAGACCGGAATTTCATCATCGTGATTTCATCTTCAACTCTCTGTATTTTATTATCCACATCAGAAATTTTAAAATCAGTATCCTTTATTTTAACATTCACTTCTGATTTAAATTCTTCCAGTTTGGAATCCACTTTGATAATAATTTCTGACAGGCCAGAGACTACATTTGATAATTTATCAGTCAATTTTCATAACCTATTGATGTAGCTGCGCAGGTACTGTAAGCTAAATAAACCAAAATAAACTAACTCAGTTAGCCACAATTAGTTTAAGTATGAGTTACTCAATTAAGTCTGTTTTCTGAATTGGCACAACACAGTAAATATATGGCTTATGCTTAAGGTTCTGAGTCTTAGCCTGAACTTTTTTCCAATACTTAAATGTTTATTTTAAATATTTACATAGAGGTTTTTCAGATTCTACATGAATGTACAAGCTTTATCAATTAAAAAAACATGTTGCCACATCAAGCTTCATTGCTCAATACGTTTACTGCAACTCTTTCTATTTTCTCCTCTTTAGATTTCGTTTTGGGGGGTTTTTTGTACACAGTAAAAAAGGCTGCTTCTAAAACCTGAAGGAAGTTCATATGTGTATCTTCCTCTGCTCTGGGTAAAGGCTTTTTATTAGAAGAAATATGAGACTCTGAAGGGTGAGTCAGAACAGTTCATTCTCTGCCTGGACCACACAGCGTAGAAAGCTCTCCTTGCCACGTTCACTGATAGAACTCACAGAGAGTTGGAAAATAATTTAGGGAAGATTGAAAACCGTTTCAGTTTATGGACAATCTCTCATCAAGTCTTCCTTAGGTAAAGTAATCATTGGCACAGCTAATTTTAAAACAGCTTGAAAGGGAGTTAGATACTGTAGCGTGCCATTCGCTTTGTGGAAACTAATAAAAAATGCACAGAAAGCCTTTAGTTTAGCTCATTGTTCATAACTGTATTTTTAGCTTTTCTAAGATGGCAGTTTTTCTATTTGAAATCGGAGACTGTCAGCCTGCATTTTCCTATTTGCAGAAATTCCATGACTCATAGTCAAAGAACTATTAGGAATCCATGAAAAATATTTTTTTGTTTAATTATTATTGAATTATTAGAATTATTATCTAATATTAATTCTATAACTAATTCAAGGTGTTTGACAGTGTTAGGGCAAACACTCCACCCTCTCAGAGTTAGCATTCACTGATCATGCTAAACTGTATAATGTGATTTGGTTGCTTGTGGCTTCCACAATACCATCCCAGTATTGTGGTTAATCCAACTTCAAGTAAACCACAAATTCACAGGAAGAGTGAACCAAGTTATGTAGTTGCAGTAGGACAATTGACTGACCTGGTTCATCCAGGTGTAGGGTGTAGGGTTTCCTGCCTGGGCAGGGAGTTGGACTAGAAGACCTCCAAGGTCCCATCCAACTCTGTTATTCTATTCTATCCATTATGTGAAATGCATACATTTTCGTGTGGACAGAGATTCACGTTTTAAATTTACTACTGGTAATAAAAATAAACTGAACTAGGAGATCATAAAGCATTTCAAAAATAGAAGCCATGAAAAAACTGGAGTCTGTGGATCCTGAACAAAACCAGATCTTATCAGAATTCTAAGTGGGAAGCAGGGGTGAAATCCAGCAGGTTCTGACAGGTTCTGAAGAACCGGTAGCGAAAATTTTGAGTAGTTCGGAGAACCGGCAAATGCCACCTCTGGCTGGCCCCAGAGTGGTGTGGGAATGGAGATTTTGCAATATCTTTCCCCCAGGAGGGGAGGGAATGGAAATTTTGCAATATCCTTCCCCTGCCACCCCCACCAAGCCATGCCCACAGAACCAGTAGGGAAAAAGTTTGGATTTCACCCCTGGTGGGAAGTCATTTCCTCCACAACTGGTTGGTGTTTTGGATATGCAGTTGTTTATTCACAAACATCAGGATTTTCTCAAATTTGTGCCCAATTGTACAAAGGTGGTATCTTTGGGCTACATAATAAATGGTGCTCATGAATGAGCACCTGAAGTAAAAATAATATCTATTTACATATAAGATTCATGGCATCTGTCTTATGCAGAGGCAAATTTCATCCTTTTAAAAGTTAGCTTAATTATTCTTCAAAAGCAATTGTGTTTAATTTAAATAAGAGAGCCCATGTAGGTTAAAATTAACAATTTGTAACATATATATTGATAGAAAAATGTGCAGTATTTGGGTTTTGTTCACACACACATGCACACACACATGCTTGATTGCTTTTCAATCCTGTAGCTTCCCAGTTTTTCAGTGCCAAAGTAAATGAAAATATGTAGTAAATGGCAGGGGTCCCTAACCCCCGGGCCATGGACCAGCACTGGCCGCGGACTGCCAGGAACCAGGCCACCCATGCAAGTGAAGCCCCATCCGCGCACATATGGGATCCAGACTGCACGTGAAACCACCATCATCCCATCTGTAGAAAAACCTGGTACCCAAAACGTTGTGGACTGCTGGTATATGAAGTTTGATGGGCACATTGATAAGAGCAAGAACCATGCTGGGACCAAAGAACTACACACTTCACAAAATAAACAAACTTCTTTCCATAGGCAAAGCTTAAAAGGATGATACAAAGATTAGAAATTGGAGCACTGAATCTTCAGCCACATATTATACTTATAGAGGACAACAAACTCATTACTTCATATATAATTGCACTGGCAGACCTACTAAAGATAAATAAAGTCATAGTAAGAGCCAAATCAGAGCCCAACAACATCAGGAAAGGTATCCATTGGCCGAAAGTCCACAGCAATCACAGGCAACCATGGGCAGAGAGGAAGGTGGCATGCATCATGGCATTGCCATGCAAATTGTGCAATTTATGTCAGTCATTTCATGAAACTGACTCAAATAATTGATACCATCTGTGTGATGAAATGGCACACATGATATGATTGTGGCTTCTACCAGGCATCTATGATAGCAGCGTTTTCTAAACCGATATAAGTTGCAATACATTTTCTAGAATTCTGGAGATTGCAGAGGACCTTTAGAATATCAAACACCCTTTTTCATTCTTATCTGGAGATGCCAAAATATCAGAATCTTGGCCTTTTCCCATGTAAACAATATACCATCCAATATGCCACCCAGCACTGAATTTAGCCAAGGACAACCAAAATTTGCTCAAACTTCCTCTATGAGCTGTGCAACTTGAATAACTGATGTTAATATCTATTGTCAAAGACTGCTATTGTAGTTATCTTAAACACATTTTCTAACATGTAACAGTGCAAAATACTGTATATGAAAATACAGGAAACCTGTACTGAAAAAGCAAAACAGGGATGCATGACTATATGGTGGAGGTGTTTGCACATGAGAAGTTTGTTACTCAAATCACATTCCAAACTATTAAATCATTTAATCTAGCCACATCAGAAAGAATAATGAATTGCATTTCCATATTGCATCTCTGCTTTGCAAGAGCCTCCAACTTTTCTCTGCCAGTTTCACCCTGGTTTCAAAGCTTAATTGAATTTGGTTAAAGAATTAATCATCAGAATTTAGGAACTGCAATGATACTTACAGCTTTTCCATTTTCAAGCCATGTTATTGTAGGAGTTGGAATGCCTGTTGCTACGCATTGCAGAGTTACCACAGAGCCAAAGCTGACGTTATAGGATTCAGGAGCCTTCAGAATTCGAGCAAAAACTAAATGTAAAAAAGCAAAAACATTAGTAAACCCGAGGGTTAGCTATTGGTGAAATATTTCCAATTTCCCAAACTCACAAAATAGTTGAAGATGGAACCAATCCAAAGCACCCAATAATTTTTGAACTCCAAAAACACCCCACACATTTGGCTAAGAGTTCACTATTGAATTTATCTTTTTCAAAAAATAAAACAAAAGTATTTCCCATCATTGTTGGTCCTCTATAGAGAGAATTGTATCTACCCCACACTAGAAAGAAAATGTTTTGTATCACAGAAACCCAAATGCTCTTCTCAAAATATCACTTTTGTAAAAAAAAAAAAAAAAAAAAAAAAAAAAACTTGTGCAAATTATAAATGTTTCCATACCTCTGATTGATTGGCTGATTTTTCCACCTTCTAAACCACTCATCTTTCTCAAGTTATGATTGCTCTGAATACTTAGCTTTTTTATACAAGGATACTTAGTCACTATTTAAGTCAATCACCTCAGAAAGTCCAAACATAAACTGAATGATGAGTGCTAATAACAGAAACATTTGCTATATCTGTAGAAATATTTCTGGAAAGGAAGAATTGCCTCTAGTCTTGAAAGAAAAACAACAAAAGATATTGGGGTATTATACTCAATTTATTTAATCCTTCCCCACTTGCAAAGACTTATAAAGTGCACACTTTTCAGAGTGGATACCTCTAAGATCCAGTCTGCCCCTCCTTCCTTTGAATTCCTTTTAAAATGAAAATTCCACTGTTAACTATATAGGCTTTCAAAAATCAATGTTAAAAAGAGTTCATATGAGGTATGTTTTCCATAAATGAATGATCCAAAAGAAACCTGCAGAGACAATAAGATCTGCAGGTCCCAACTTGGGGCTGTAGTGGGAGTGAGGAATATAAATAACATTAAAATAGTTAATGTCCGGTGTCTATATAAATCTGCTGTACTAAATGACTCATTTTCCACATATGAAATATATATTGCAGCAAATTCCAAAAGGCAAGTTCATGCAAGGATAAGATCTGTTCAAATTACCTTCCCTGGGAAGTGTGCAAAGAAGTCTTTTGATGCTAGAGCTGGCTCATATATGATGCATTTAAGGAGCTCAAATGTACATTTAAATGTAGAGTCTTACCTGTTGGCTTAGTTCTCAACTACATCCAATGAATCTGTGCATCAGATAAAATAGACTACAGTTCAGGAAAGAGCAGACCCTACTAAATCTAAAATGCCTTAAAAGGTTTTTTTAATGGCTTTTCCCAGTGACTTCAAATAAATATCAAAACTCTCCTAAAAGTTATTGGCTAAGAAAAATAAACTCAACCCAGTTGCTATCCTTCAAAATGTAACAGTGGCCTTTAGATAAAATTCCTTTTGTTTAATTCTCCAGGCTGTATTGCTGGAAAGATCTGAAGTAGGAAATATTACAGGAGATGAACTGAAGTCTCATTTGGATTGGGAATGGGAGTCTGCAGTACTGCATAGTAATTGCTGAGTGAACAAAATTCACTTGCTAAATAAAAAAAGCACAGATCAGAAGGAGATTGTACAAATAGAAATAGCAATAGCACTTTGACTTATATACCGCTTCACAGTGCTTTACAGCCGTCTCTAAGCGATTTACAGAGTCAGCACATTGCCCCCAACAATCTGGGTCCTCATTTTACCGACCTCAGAAGAATAGAAGGCTGAGTCAACCTTGAGCCTGGTGAGATTCAATCTGCCAAACTGCTGGCAGCCGATGATCAGCAGAAGTAGCCTGCAGTACTGCACTCTAACCACTGTGCCACCGTGGCTCTAGGAAACATCTAGGAATGGTGCCCCAGATGTATCCATTTTGGCTAAAAGTAGTATTAAGTACTTTTCAATTACCATTAAATGAGATCTTAGTTTTATTCTGCTGAATAAATGGGTTCAATGGGAATAACTAAAACAATAATCCTATCTATGGAAGCAATAGTAGAAAAGGAAGGAGCACTGGGAAGCCTTATACATTTTCAGTCACAAAAGTTACATCCAAAATAAATTCTGTCAGAGTGCAAGAAACAAGCAGAGCATCTCATTATTTTACACCTGGCTTTAGCATATGAAAGTCCATATAGAGCCAGCAGAGGAGAATCCAGATCCTGTTGCTTGAAAGCTGCTGGTATGGTATTTGTTTGTTTGTTTGACTACTATACTACCCATTTTGCTGAGGCAACTCTAGGCAGCTTACAGTTTATGCCTAAATGGCACAATTGTTGTTATATTATGCTTGTCCTTGTGCTTTTCTGTTATATATATGTGCTTTTCTCAGTTATAAGCTTCAGATTGTGAGGTTCTGTACTATGTTTTAGATTGCATGATTCTATACAATATATATTAATGTATACAATGCTGCTAGTGACACCCATTTCTATTGTGGATAAGTCATTAATGAAGTACATTATTCATCCACCTGGTTGAAAGATTTAAACCATCCTTTGTTGAGCTGAAATCTTTCTGATAGGATGAACTAAAACTTCCAGAATTTCCTTGCCGCATGATTGATGGCCAAGCTGGCTGAGGCTTCTGGAGTTAAAATCCAACATCTCTGGAAGTCATCCAGTTAAGAAAGACAAATCTAAGTATTCCTAGAAGCAGAACTAGAGCAAGCCAAGAGCTGATATCAGCCCTGTCATTCAGAATAATGTATCACGTGTATCCAAACGTATTACTCCACACACATATGCACATGCAAATAATCTTGGAAAAGCCATAAATATTATCCCATGGGAAGCAAGACTATGAAATAATTTCCCAAATGTATGTCTTTAAGATTGACTCAGGCTTCCATCCTTCCGAGGTTGGTAAAATGAGGACCCAAATTGTTGGGGGCAATATGTTGACTCTGTAAACTGCTTAGAGAGGGCTGCAAAAGTGCTGTGAAGTAGTATATAAGTCTAAGTGCTATTGCTATTTTAGAAGTATATTTATTCAGAATTCGCCATTAACATTCCTTGCAGACAGACGAACAAAACCCTTGGTAAGAAGGCCATTAGATCAAGGGTGAAATGCTACCGGTTTGGACCAGTAGCGATGGCGGCGGGTGGTTCGGCGAACTGGTAGCAATGGCAGTGTGAGGCTCCACCCACCTGCCCACTTCCAAACCGGTAGGGAAGGTAAGTAGATTTCACCCTTGCATTAGATCATTGATTAGATTTGCTTATTTGTTTCTATTTACTCATAGATTCAAAGCTGGGATCAAAGGCTTCCATTTTTGTCCTGAACACTTCGCAAAAATATATACGCAGTACAGATGTTGGAGGAATGCAGATTCTGTATTTGAGTGATCACATCACCAAACAGATCACTCACCTTCCACTTCCAGAATTACAGGTTTAGAGTAAGCCGTCCCGAGGCTGTTCTTTGCCACACAGCGATAGTGTCCACCATCTTCCTTCTGTACATTATGAATCCTTAAACTGCCTGATTCAAGAATAGCAATTCGAGAAGTTTCCTGCCATAAAATATAAAGCTTCAAGTGAAATGAGGTAGAATAAATCTTGTGACCCAGATAGATATATTTATTTATTTGATTTATATTCCTATTTCATTTGTATAATTTGAGGCAGCTTACATAATGGTCCTTCCTAGTTTCCCCACAACGGCCACCTTGTAAAATGATTTGGGCTGACAGGCAATGATTGGGTCAAAGACACCCACCCGGTTTTCATATCTAAGGTTAGACTAGAATTCACAGATTCTAGGTTTCTGGTCCAGTATCTTAATCATTCATCCTCTCTATGAAATAACAAATAAAACAATATTTTTTTTCTCAGACCAGTTCTGCAAAAAGATGCAGGTTATAATGAAATACTGACAATACTCACCTTTATCACATTTTCTCCTTTGATCCAAGAAACTGAAGGCTTGGGATTTCCCATTGTAGTGCATGGGAAGACAGCCTTCAATCCTTCAATGATTTTCAGATTTGAAGGTGGACGGGTTATTTTCGGTTCTACAATTTTAAAGATCAAAATGAAATGGAGTCTGGAGTCAAATATGCTAAAGAAGGGGTGACCAAACTTTAGCATAGCGGAGTCCAACCTTGGCAACTTTAAGACTTGTGGACTTCAACTCCCAGAATTCCCCAGCCAGCATATTGAAGTCCACAAGTCTCAAAAGTTGCCAAGGTTGGACACCTCTGTGCTAAAGTCACATTATACTATTACAAAATGATAAGTCCATTTTGTCATCAACATCCATACTCTCTTCTAACAAAGCAATGAAAGAGCAATGGAGCTTGCTATCTCCCAAAAGCCTATAAAGAGATGGAGGGAAGGCTTTTCAAAGGAGAGTAGAAGCAGGAAATTCATACTATCTCCAAATTTGGAGGAAAATATATGTAGGGGGATCGTGGACATTCAGGAAAAGTTAACCAAGATTGCAACTTCAACATTACAAGGAATGAATTACGGGCTGGTGCAGAAAAAAAATCAATATTGCCACTGCTCAAAAAGCTTAAGCTAGTTCTTATTTTACAAATAAAGACATGATGGTAGAACAGCAAATAGAATGTAAAATAAAACTTGATTTTTTTTTCCTAAAAATTTAATAGAGGGTTTAAATTGCTCTGAAGCCAATTTTTACATTGCCCAGATTTTCAGAAGCATTCCTAATTTAAACTGCTGGTATTGATCTTCTGGGCCATGTATTAAAAAACATGATTACAATTCATATTTCTGTGTGCTCAGAGCAATCATGCAATCAAGATCTGCTAGTTTTTCTTTGTTTCAGAATGGTCACCTTACATTTCAGTGTTTTCTCCCTTCTAGCTCCTCCTACTCTATGGTATCAATTCCTCCATTGAACTATGCTTGGAATATGATCTCCTGATGTTTACATGTAATTCTTTTTTTTTTTTTTAATGATCTTTATGAAGCTGGAAAAACTTCATGAGTAACCCGTACTGGTCCCGGATACCAACACAGTAGAGTTAGGATTAGATAAATTAGATAAATTGCTTTATAGCAAGTAGCGTTTGACTTTCAACTGTTTGTTTAACAATAGTTCAAAGTTACAATGGCCTTGGATGGTGATGGCAAACCTATGGCATGCGTGCCAGACGTGGCACACAGCGCCCTCTCTGATGGCACGCAAGCCGTTGCCCCAGTTCAGCTCTGCTACGCATGTAAGCGCGCCTCCCTCCAGCCAGCTGATTTTTGGGTCTCTGCCATGCATGTGCGGGGGCGGGGCATGTGCGGGGGTGCACGTGCATGCGCAGGGATGGGGTGCGTGCAGGGGGCAGGGCACATGCATGGGGGCTGTGCGCACATTGCATTTTGGGGGTTTGGGCACTTTGGGCACTCGGTCCGGAAAACTGGCCTAGGAAAAAGTGACTTACAACCTGGCGCTTACAACTGTCATCCCATCCCTGTGGTCACATGATTACAATTTGGAGGTTGGAAACCAGCTCGCATTTAAGATTGGATGCAGTGTCCTGCACTCACATTATCATGTTTTGTGATCACAATTTTCAGCAAAAAATGCCCATTAGAGAAACTGGGATCATTTAATGATGGTGTGATTTGCTTAATAATTGTGTGTTTCAGTTAAATTCAGTTTAACTGAATTTAGTAAATTCAGTTAAAATTGTCGCAAAATCAGATCCAACTTGATTTATGACTGCAGTGACTTATAGATATTCTGATGTGGTCGTAAATGTGTATACAGGTAGCCCTTAGCTTACAACTACTGGTACAATGGAGCCCAAAAAATTTCTGTTGCTAAACAAGACAGTTATTAAGTGAATTTTGCCCCATTTTACAATCGTTCTTACCATAGTTTTTAAGTGAATCACTGCAATTGTTAAGTTAGTAATATGGTTGTTCAGTGAATCTGGCTTCCCCATAGACTTTGCTTGTCAGAAGGCTACAAAACGTGATCACATGACCCTTGGACACTGCAACCGTCATAAATATGAGTCAGTTGCCAAGTGTCTGAATTTTGATCACCGCCCTGAGTCCTTCAGGAGTAGGGCGGTATATAAATCCAAAAAAAATAATAATACATGAACATGGGGATGTTGCAATGGTCATATGTGTGAAATAGTCACTTTTTTCAGTGCTGTTGTAACTTTGAACCATCACTACACAAACTGTTGTGTGTTGTAAGTTGAAGCCGAGCTCTATCTGTGCTGCCCTGCTCCCCACACACACATATACATGCATGCATAGCAAGAGTTCTAAAGGTGTTTATTCAAACCCCCCAAACAAGTCCTCAGAATAGGTATACTTACTCATTTTCACTTGTAATGCCCCACAGCTTTCTGCTTCTATTCCTACACCATTGTTTGCAGTACAACAATATATCCCATCATCACTGTCTTCCACACTCAGAATAGTTAGGAGTTGCCCATTTTCTCGTATGGCGTACCTAGTATCAAAAAATCTGAGAGCATATTGAGATGCGTCAAGGAAGAGTTTATTTAAAAGTGCAAGCTTGAATGTACATTTCTATGCGGGGGCCCCCCCTGGCCTTTACAGTCCAAATAACTGGCTTCAAAAGGTGGGGCTCTTCTGAGATGTTTGCCCTGCCCAGATTACTTCTGCAAACTAAGCCTCTTATCTGACTATTGTCTACTCTGCAGCTGTTCCTCCTGTCTTCCCATGTCATTCCCAAATGCCATTATACATTTTACATATATTTATCATGCACCTATAAAAATAATGCCTGAATTGACTTTATAGAATGCTGCACTGGTGAATAGAATTAAGATGGAGTGTAATATTATGGATAAGAGGGATGTGGTGGCTCAGTGGCTAAGACACTGAGCTTGTCGATCGAAAGGTCGGCAGTTCAGCAGTTCGAATCCCTAGTGCCGCGTAACAGAGTGAGCTCCCGTTACTTGTCCCAGTTTCTGCCAACCTAGCAGTTTGAAAGCACGTAAAAAAATGCAAGTAGAAAAATAGGGACCACCTTTGGTGGGAAGGTAACAGCGTTCTGTGCACCTCTGGCATTTAGTCATGCTGGCCACGTGACCATGGAGACGTCTTTGGACAGTGCTGGCTCTTCAGCTTTGAAACGGAGATGAGCACCGCCCCCTAGTCAACTAGTACATATGTGTGATCGGAACGAGTAGCACATATGTGCGAGGGGAACGAGTAGAACATATGTGCGAGGGGAACCTTTACCTTTTACTATTATGGGTAGAGACCAATACTGATATTTTCTGAGAGTACCCACACTCTGCAGTCTTGTGTACATTCAATTCATACCTGATAGGAATGTTATTACGTGTCCAGGTAATCTCTGCCTGGGGAAAAGATTTTACGACACACAAAAAGGTGGCTGCCTCTTCAACCAGCGCATCCACAGTCTCAAGAGAGGTGGTGATGACTGGAGCTGTGACCAAAAAAACAACAACCCCACCAAGGCAGCATGAGAAAGTGAATAAATTTCACATTAGATCCTGCAGCTTGACCAAGCAAATTTGCCAAACAAATCCCAAACCAATTACACTTGACAGAAAAATAGTAAGATATAGAGAAAAGACATTCAAATAAATGTATTTATTCATGCATTATCTTATTCTCCCATTCTGGAATGTGAGGATTCTCAGCTTTGCTTTAGTTCAGTGATGGCTGACCTTTTCTGGACCGAGTGATCAAAGCGCACATGCCAGTGGTGGGTTGCCCCCGGTTCACACCAGTTCTATAGAACCGGTAGTAAAATCGGCGGGAGGCTCTGCCCACCGACCCTGACATCATCAAAATGCTTCTGCGCATGCAGGGTTCACGCAGCCCCGTTGTGAACCAATAGTAAAGGTAAGTAGAACTCACCCCTGGTGCGTGCGCCCGAACCCCAAAATGCATGCACCCCACTCTGCACATGTGTGCTTGCCCCGCACTTGCACCCCACCCCTGTGCGCACGCCCCGCCACACCCCCACCCTGTGCATGCATGCAGGGGGGCCACGCACATGCCCCACTCCCCGTGCATCTGCATGCACCCCCTCCCTGCGCATGTACACATGCCCGCCGTGCCTATGCGTGTGGTCCATCCGCCTGCACCACACGCCACGCGCCCCACGCAGCTGAGACCCAACAATCAGATGGCCGGTGGGAGGCACGCATGCATGTGCGGTGGAGCTGAACTAGGGAGACAGCTCGTGTGCCCAGAGAGGGCGCTGCGTGCCACCTGTAGCATACATGCCATAGGTTTGTCATCACAGCTATAATACTTCTGAGTATTCCATGCATCTTTGTAAGCATGATCCATTTCTGATCATTGTAATCTCTAGACATTCAAAGACTTTTTCAAGGTGGCTTCATTTTCTGAGACCATGTCCTGCAGATATGAAAGGAACATCTTCTACTATGTGGGTCCTCAGATATGAAAAATGGAAGCCACATTCTTTCTCGGTACTTTCTGTTCTGGGAAGGAATCCAGACCCTCCTTGCAGCTACGCCATTTCAATTTGAATTTGTTTCTGCAATGGTTTGAAATCCTATTTTAAAGGTTGTGACTATCTGTGTTATTTTTTTTTTTTAATTTAAAGCCACTTTGACCCTTTATGGATTGGAAGGCAGGATACAAATTATTTTTTAAGTCAATAAAATTCTGAACAAAGGATTGCTAGTCAGGAACACCATTTTTTCTAATAGCAAAGATTGAGGTCAGGATGAATCACTGAATCAGACTTCAGTGTAATTTAGCTTCATGACAGATGACAAAAATCATAGTTAGCTATGTTATCATGGCCAACTCTAGATCCAAGGGGAGGCTATCTATATAGTCTGACACAGCCTAAGAACTTGATAGTGCCGAGCAGCAACGTAATGATCACCTCCCTTAGCACAAACTGTTCGAAAAGATATCAGAGAGGCCTTTTAACTTTCTTCAATATTTATATAAGCAGGGAACTTTAATTCTACTGCACATACCTAATTTCTTTATCACTGAAAGCTTTGTATATATTACATATTACATTAGCAGAGATAAATGTAACTCTAGTTAGGTGGGTGGGCCAGCATGGCCTTGAAAATACATGAAAATGTTTTCATACCATGTAATTGTGTTTGCTGGATATCTAAAAAATTTATAAATTGTTTTGTTCTCAGTGGAAAATGACATACTGCACACAATTGCCAAAAGGAAAACAAACCCAGTTCTTTAAAAGATATTGACTGTTGACCCTGGCATTTGGCATTCTTTCTGACACATACCAATGGGTATCTGATTCTCTTATGAGTAGAGAATCCGCCAAAATTCATAATATTGCAAAATGCTACTGTTCTTGTTATCACTCTTCCTTTGTAAGTACTCTTCAAAAATGCTGAGACTGCAGCTCCTAGTAGTGAAAACAACTCTGGTCCGATTTGAAGATTTCCCTTTCTGGTCCACAGTTAGTCAACATTTCAAGTTTCAAACTATAGAGCAAAGTAGTATATGTATAAGATTCCTAAATTTCTCTTTGATGAGAGGGAAAGCAGCTTGATAGAAGGCAGAGCAAACAAAGAATTTAGCACTGTGTACTTATTCATCACATATATTTCAGTCTCCTTAAATCTCTTACAAACAAACATTGAAATAAGACGGAGTTCATCTATTAATTGTTGGCATTGTTGTAATCAATCTTTGTACTTGAGACTATTAAATCTATATAAAGACAACAGGAACTTTTTTCCCATCTGAGTACCCATCTACAGTAGAGAAGAGGCATATATTCCTGAATCCCTGTCATTTTGTCCTGCAAATACGTTTCATCGTATTCTGTATTTTAAATTCTTTTTTAAAAAAACCCATAAAAGGAATTTCAGAATGGATTTGTTTGTTTTTTCTTACAGAAAACATTTCTAAACATAGTTATTGGCCAAATACAATTTATGATATAGGTCGAGTGTTGAAAAAAGCAGCAAAGTTTTTAAGAAATGGCGAAGCCAACTAATCATTACAACTGCAAACTGGATACCAATTTATTTGGGAGTAAATTCCAGCAGGACTTCCGGTTTAGTTGATCTGTAGAGGAGCTTCACCTGGTTGTCAGCAACATGACCTTAATGGGCCTTCCTTGCAAGTAACAATGTAGAGAGCTATCCTCAAAATTCTAATCAGAACATTAATCGAGGAGATATATATTATGTCACTTCGTACAAGCATCTGCCTCACTTGCATTCCTTAAGCATCTCTGTATCTCTGCATATTTACTTAGAAGTCCCAACTATGTTAAGTGGATTTATTCCCAAGTAAACATTCAACATTGCTGGCTATTTATATTTGGGAAACTGTTTTTGATACATACTATAAACAAAAAACCTACACAGGAAAATTCATCAGAACACCAGTCATCGTGATATGTACAAACAAGAGTTGCTCAGTTCTTCCATGGTGATTCTCCAAAGGCAATTACAGATGCGCTCACAGGCAAAACCAGCTCATTTATACAAATCCCAGGAGCTTATATATTCATCCGAGAGCCTGGGCAGGTCCAAGATCAAAAATAAATATAGAACCAGTGGCAAAAGCAAAGAGATGACCCATTATTTATACCTACCTTTAGGGAGCTTCTCTGTCAAGCCGAAGGCAGCCAGGGTGAAGATCTGTATAAGAGAAATGTTTAGCCAATCTTTCATGATTTATCCGGAGACGGGTTGAGGGAGAGGATTTGTCCCCTTTAGCCAAAGATAGGCATTTTTCTTCTTGGTTGCTTAGTTTTAAAGCATGGTATGTTGCAAAGTTCTGCTCAGACACTGACTCGTGGGTTCTAAGTATAAGCAGGAATCCTCTGACTTGGCTGCAGTGATGGACATGGCCAGCTGGTGTGCTTCAACGTCAGTCAGCATCAACAATGTGGAGGCTCATGAAACAAGAGAGCACAAATCCCCTGGGAATGCCTTTTGAACAAACAGTGGAGAGTACACAATGCCTCAATGCCTTTCTAAAATAATAGCTTGGTCTCGGGCCAACGAAACATGTTGAGCTTTTGCATCATGTAAGAGTGGATTCGTCTGGAGATCTTCTTACCTTTTTAAAGCCTCCTTCTCTTGCTGGACCAAAGCAAAGGCCCATTTTCTCCAACATATTCCTGGGTGCTTCTAAAACTATACAACTTGATGCATCTCTTGTCTGAAACTATTTGCTCACACTAGCTAATACTATAAACCAGCAGCCCCTAACCTTTTGGGCACCAGGGACCAATTCTGTAGAGAGAGTTTTTTTCTGTGGACTGGAGGGGGCATAATTTCATGTGCTGCCTGCATGCCACAGATGGGGCTTCACTTGTTTGTGCTGTCCGGTTTCTGGCACGCCACAGACAGGGGGTTGGGGACTCAAAATTCATAGATTTATTTCATTATTTTACTGGGCTTTGATGTTGCTCCCATATAACCAATTCTAAGCAGCATACATACCCTATTCTATAAAATGAGATTTATTATATATATAACAATTAATCAATAACCATAATTCTGTGCCAGGAACAATAAACAAAATATCTATATCTATATCCTACATTCGCAGTGGGACCACTTCATAACACACCTATCACCAGATACTGGTAGAAAAGGCAGGTTTTAATCACTTTCCTAAAATCTAGCAAAGGTTTTCACAGTTTTAAAGAAGGAGGGAGCAGTTGAAAAGGTTTCTAAAGAAAGCAATAACATTTAGCATTAGCATTTAGGCTTATGTACCACCCCATAACACTTTACAGCACTCTCTGGATGGTTTACAATGCAAGCTTTATTTGCATGTTGCCCCCAACAGTCTGGGTCCTCATTTTACAGACCTTGGAAGGATGGAAGGCTGAATTAATCTTGAGCCCTGTCAGGATTGAGCTGCAGGCTATGGGCAGAGGCTCATCTTCGCATCCTACTAACAACAGCAGGAAGATCATCTCTCACCATTTTAAAAACACAAATGACATCATCTCATCCCTGGCAGCTTGCCTTTGTAGTTATTTTCATTTTATTATTTTATTGTTATTTTTATTATTATGTTTTAAATAATTATTTTCCTGCTTCAGACATAAATTTTGCTGTGGCTCTCATTCATTCCCAAAGGTGCTTTTTCAAGAGGCAACTGGTTTTTCTTTGAAGACGTTTCACTCAGTGGTGGGATTCAAACATTTTTACTACCAGTTCTGTGGGCGTGGCTTGGTGGGAGTGGCAAGGGAAGGATACTGTAAAATCTCCATTCCCACCCCACTCCTGGGGAAGGATACTGTAAAATCTCCATTCCTTCCCCACTCCAGGGAAAGGTTACTGCAAAATCCCCATTTCCTACCGATCAGCTGGGACTCGGGAGGCAGAGAATAGATGGTGGTGGGGCCAGTCAGAGGTAGTTTTTACCGGTTCTCAGAACTACTCAAAATTTCCACTACTGGCTCTCCAGAACTGGTTAGAACTTGCTGTATACCACCTCTGATTTCACTTCTCATCCGAGAAGTTTCTTGAGCTGAACAAGCTTCTTGGATGAGAAGCGAAACATCTTCAAAGAAAAACCAGAAAGTCCAGTTGCCTCTTGAAAAAGCATCTTTGGGGCAACCATGACCAGATGACTGAGAATCTCCATAGACTTCTCATTCATTCATTCATTCATTCATTCATTCATTCATTCCAAACATTTATAAAGCTGCACAATTCAGTGTGATTCTGGGCAGCATGCCATAAGAATAAGCATTCAGTAAAAAAATAACTATATTCCATTAAAATATATATAATATGATCAGCCAAACAAGACTATTAGAACAACAAAAATGATTTACATCACTTCCCCTTTCCCAAAGGTGCTTTTCCAAAAGGCAACTGGACTTATTTGGTTTCTTCCTTGAAAATGTTCACTTCTCATCCAAGAAGCTTGGATGGGACAAACATGACCTGGATGATTAAGAATCTCCATGGACATAATTTCCAAGTGGTAATGTTGGTGACAATACAATCAGAAACTTTGGTCTATGGGCATTCCCTCTTCTTCTCCAGGACTTTGCTTTCCATGGCCATTTCAATTTGAGCAGTAGGAAAGACCAAACATGTCACGTCTATAGAGGCATCTACTCAAATAATGCCTGATCAGCACTTCAAAAAGTACTCATAAGGCATAATGTGGCTTCTTATATGCAGGGATGTTGTATTGTTCCAACCCATATTAGATCTGTTTTTTAAACAAAGGTTTTAGCACACTTTTGAAATCATGCTAGACTTGTAATTTAATTGGTAACTTTCTTTTCTTCAGATGGTTAGTTTTGTCCTGCTTAGGAAATTGATTTAAATTGGAAAAGAGAACCAATTTCTGTGACCTCTCCCATCTAAGCATGTTCTAGGTTTTGGCTGCTTCTGTCAACAAGGATTTTTTTCATGACCATACTCCTTACAGTTTTTATTACCTCTCAGTGAGTATTTTGTCTAATTCTGCACCATTTGGGATTTTTTAAAAAATAATTTTTATTAAAGGTTTCAACAGAATAAAAACAAAACAAAATTTGAACTGAAGATAAGAAAAAAGGGATAAGTAATGAGAAAGTGAAAAAGTGAAAAAGAAACAGAAGAGAAAGAAAAAGGAAAAAAAGGAAAAAGCAATACATAGTAATAAAGTAGCTTCCAATCTTCTTAACAGCAGCTATAAGTCTATTTATACCACACACACACTCACAAGGTTACATTATAATTTACCTCTTTCCATAATCTACCCTAATTATCAAATCCATAAACAGCGCAAAAACTCTACAAGCAGTCTAATCAGTGGTGGGTTGCTCCTGGTTCTGTCCGGTTCTATAGAACCGGTAGTAAAACTGGTGGGAGGCTCAGCCCACCCGCCCTGACATCATGAACGGTGATCTGCGCATGCGCAGGAATGTGTGCGTGCACGCAAGCGAAGCGAGTGAGCGCACATGCTCCAGTTGCAAACCAGTAGTAAAGGTAAGTAGAACCCACCCCTGAGTTTAATTCTACATCATTTTGCATACCCTGAAGGCTGCTTCCCATGGAATAGAGGAGGATCTAGCAGTCTTTCAGAAGAGCACTTCACATATATATATCTATATTCAGAAATAGCCCAAAGGACAAATCTCCAGCACAGAACCTAAAACATTCAAACTACTTGAAAAGTAACCAACCTAAACCGCCCCCATCCCAAATGTCTGCACAAATTCAAGTGACCCCCACCCTGTGACATTTGGGAGAGCAATTGGTGATTGTTTTTCCTGCTGATGGGAGGATAAACAGCCAGGGAATCCACAAATCTCCTCCCTTGCTTGCCCTGAGCCAATAACCAGCCCCATTAGTGTACCAGATTACAATTCAGCCATTGGGACAATGCAATTTATGTTTAACATAGTTTCGTCCTGACTTGGATTGGAGTGTTAAAGCAGCTGTGAGGGAGAACCTTAGACATAACAATGTTATTCAACATGCTAGAAACTGTGATGGTAAAGTGAATGATCAGAGGAATATAAATTAAGAGGATTCTTTAAAATCAAGAAGATTAATAACCAATACAGTTCATTGCATGCAAATTTGCTTTTAAAGTTAAACATATGATACAGAATAAAATAAAATAAAGTATACTCTGGAATATAATTGCTTGGGTACCTGATCCCCTGCTGCATTCAATAAGGTTTTTGTTTCATCAGAATTTGTTTTATTGGATCAAATTTAAAAACAAAAACAAATATTCTTATATTTGTTGAAGACAAACAAAACTCGTCAGCTAAAGCCCTGAAGCAAATTGCAAAAACAGAGTTATGTCTTGGAAATAGATTCTGAAGTTTGCAAGGCTAAAGGAAGTAGAAGCAAGTTTTAGAAACTGCTGCCGATGGGGATAGAATGGCTTTTCTTTTAATTGATCTTGCCAGCAGCTGTTCCTGTGAACTGAGAAATGATATACTCTTTATACAGGATAAAAATGTAAACTTGTTAAGTCTGTTCACAATAAGTAAAATATTTGCTTTATATAAAACAAAAATAACAAGTCTTTCTAAATATTCTTTGTTTGCTTATTGTTTAATTTTCCAAAAACTTTAAATAATCCAAAAATACCTTGCCATGCATTATTTTTGATTCCATCTCATACTAATGGAAAAAGCCTACTTGCTTTCTGAATAAATAAAGCCCAAATGTTAAGTACTTACAAAAAATCTTTAAACGTTTTTAATTATAATTCATTACACAGACAGACAGATGTTTAGACTGCTTTTTATCCACCTATCAAGTCCTTCCCAAGGATCTGGGATAGGAAGATATTGTTTGATGATGTTAAAAGTATTGTCACAAAATACTTTTTGTGTTCCAATAATGCTGCCTCTTGCATTTGACGGAAGAGGGGTTTGTCAGTGTTAATGCTCCAGCTGTGTTGAGATTGCACCCGAGGTGCCTATTATTGTTGGTACTACTTTTGCTTTCTTTTGTCACAGTCGTTTCACTTCTATTTGCAGGTTTTTCTATTTTGGGATTTTTCTTTAGTTCTTTCTCTTTTATCCTGCTTTCTACATGTACTGCCATCTCCACTATACAGCAAGGTTTTTTATCTACAATTGTGAAATTTGGGGTGTTGTATGGCAGGTGTTGAATTCTAAAATGAGCCGAGGTGGCGCAGTGGTTAGAGTGCAGTACTGCAGCTACTTCAGCTGACTGCTAGTTCAGCAGATCAGCAGATCAAATCTCATCAGCTCAAGGTTGACTCAGCCTTCCATCCTTCTGAGGTGGGTAAAATGAGGACCAAGACTGTTGGGGGCAACATGCTATTTAGTATACTGTCTTTGGTTAAGCCGCCCAGAGTCCTCGGAGAGTGGGCAGCATAGAAATATGAATAATAAAATAAAAATAAATAATAAAATCTTAGAGCACTTTAGCTTCTTTACTTTCTATTACTTTGTCTATATTGTGGTCTCAT